ACAAAACCTGTCCAGTCTCGTTCTCCTACCAGGTCTCGATATTACTATTTCATATCTGAACAGCGTTATTTTGCTGTTCAACGTCAACTCGTAATAGTTCGCTATCAAAGCAATATGCCGGCCCACTTTACCCGTACCCGGTCTCGCTAAAAGCTCACTCACCACCGGCACCTTTAATTTGTACCTTTACTTATTAAGATCATTAATATTTTTATAGATAACATTGGTAATACATATAATAATAAAAATGATAATAATAAATATAATAATAATGATAATAATAAATATAATAATAATGACAATAATAAATATAATTATTATTATTACATTAGTAATTACATATCAATACATACCCGTCAATATAAAGATGAAAAACAATCGCAATAATTTTATTAAATACCGATTAACAATCAACAATTTTAAATTATTAAATGATAATAATAATAGTAATAATATTAACCATAATATTAATAATAATAATAATAATAATGATAATAATAATAACAATAACAATAATAACAATAATAATAATAATAATAATAATATTAAATTGAAATAATATCAAATACAATAATAATGATAACAATAATATTAATAATAAGTATATAAAATAATAAATATTTACCTGAGCAGATTCCCTCGAGACAGCTGAAGCTCTGTCAGAAGTCGGTGCTGGTGTTGAGGGCGACGACGACGTTACACTCAATCCAGTCATTCCGCTGGTTAGCTCGGACATCGAGTCACCTACACATTTATTACTCATTATTTCTATTAATTAACCATAATAAATTAACCATAATAAAACAATTTAACAATTGATAACTAATATAATTTAATTAGCAACAAAATCAGCAAAATTTAGCAACAATATAATTGTTGTCTTAATTAAACAATTTTAATTTAATTTAACATTTTAATAATTTAACAATTTAATTTAAAAAATTAATATAATTAATTAATTAAACCATAATTATAATTTTATTAATTAACAAATAACAAAATCGCCCACCTCCAATATTCGAGAATGATCCGGCTGAGCCGACTGCGGCCATTCGACCTCGGCCTCCTCCCCGTCCCGCTGCGGTGGACGTCGTGCCGACGCCACGAATTCTACTAGATGTCTCTCTGCTCATCGATGGCTGCTGTCACGATTGTCAACCAGAACACCCAGCTTCGATTCCCCTCGATCCGAATATCACTACTCAAATCCCCCCTAAGCACTCGTTAATTCAACCTCTCTCACAAAACCACCTAAAAATATCCACAATCAAACTTATTCCAACCAATAAAATCAATCCAAAACACATCCATTATTCACGTCCAATAATATTTTTTCAATAATATTTTTTATCCAGTATATTCTGATAATTTCTGTACACAACAGATATAACACATCAATTGACAATGCCCTCCCTCTCCAGCCTCATCGACTACGATCCAATCACTCCAGTTTAACGCCATGCCTGATTTTACCCATTCTCTAAGGCTTCCCCACCCGAACCCAATGCTCTAGGATACATCTCTTACATTACTACCACCAAATTACCCACACCCTAACTATCCCAACTTCCCACTCACTTCATAAATAGTAAACCGAGACAGCTTTCAGACTATACACCAAAACACTCCATAAACTATCATATTTGAAATTAACTATGATTAAAATAATTATCATAACAAAAACAACGTGTCACTATCTATATAAGTAATAATAATAATAATAATAACACTAAAAACAATAACACCACTACAAAACAGTCTTCCACCAAACCAACACCATCCCAGCCATATTAATGAATACGGGATAATCAAGCCAGACAACCTAGAGATAAGCGGAATATACAATTGCACTCAATGATATCTATCACTCATTCCATCTCAGCCCTCCGAAGTCATCATTCTCATACCTATCATGCAAATCTCCGCCTTTCCAACCATTACTCTGACCCTTCTTCTGCATATACAATCCCTTTCGAATATATATATATATATATATAAATATATATATATATAAATAAATAAATATATATATATATATATATATATATATATATATAT